TATGTGTGTGTATAATTATTATAATTTATAATTTTTATAAGTATTTATTTATTTCAAGTAAAAAAATAAAAATAAAAAAGATAAGAAAAGAAAAATAGGAAAGAAATAAAATAAAAATAAGGTTGTATAATAGGAGACAGATATAAAAGAATAAAAGTTATTTTTTTTATATTATTTAGTTTAAAAACCAATAAATAAAAATATTATTATTATTAAAATAAAAGTTATTTATATATACATAATCTGTTAAAATTATCGAATTATATGCATACATGATTGATTATGTTACTCATCTTAATTAACTATGTATGTTATGACCTTACACTTAATTGCAAAGATGCAAAAAGTTTTTTTTTTTTCTTTTTTTTCATAAGGACTCCTCTCTTTTCCCTTCTATTCCACTCTACTTCATCTAATTATCTCAAACAACCTTGAACAATAACTTCTTTATTTTTGTCTTCTCTTCCACTAAACACACCGTTAAATATAAATTTATTAAGTTTTAGTACAAATTACTTGAATAACTTTTAAACTAATTATTTAAAAATAATAAATATTAACGAGTCAATTCAACAACAATTTAATTTGAATGAACCAAACTAAATCAATAATTAATTATCGTTAATTCGACTTTTTTCGTTAATAAATCGATTACATAGCTTAGCCTGATTTTCTTTTTAAAAAGGCTACTTAACTAGCCTGATTTGGGTTGACTGCCATTTTACTCATCCTATAGTCTATTCACCTAAATGTGTCGGACCAACCTAATTGATTCCCCTAGATTCTTTGGTTACAATAAAATTATTCATTCCCCTAGTTTAGAATAGTTAGCTAGTTGATGTTCCACCCCTCCTTGTTAAAAAAAATCAACTTAATTTCCATGAAAAATGATAGGTTTAACAAAAATAATAATTTTTTTTATTAAAAATTCAGTACATTGTTGTAAGAGTAATAGTTATGGCTGTCATTAAATTTGGAATTATATATTTTATTGAATAAAATGAGAATGAATACAAGTGTGTTGGAGAACCAATTGAACTCAATTAAAGTTGAAAAAAAATATATTCACAAATTTGTACTTCTTTTCCTATATTGAAACATTTATTTTTTTTTATTAAATGTTGTTTTTTTGAAGGGTTTTATTAAATGTTATTAAACTTAGTATTCAAATACATTCAATTTTTGCTTAAAAAAAATACATTCAATTTTCTGTCAGAGAGATTCTGTTGCAGCATCAGTTGGCCCGAAATGTTGTCTTTGGTTGAAAACCCACTATTGTGGTTGAGTTATTAGCAAAATATATTCACTAATGTTAAATTAACATGACCAAGATTTTCAATTGTTGTTGTGGTACACTGCCATTAATTTGATGTGCACAATCATGACCTAACGTGCCGCCGCAACCAAGATGTCGCGGCTACATCACATGCGGTTCACATTTTAAAACACTAAACATGATAGTAGTAACAGGTTTTTCTTTCTTCATTATTTTGAGTTTCTTTTTTTTGAAAATTGGAAGTTGAAGTTTTATAATTTTTCAAAATTCAAAATAAGAAAGTGTTGAAACATTAATTGAGGTGGAGCTATTTTCAAGAAATTTTATAAAGGAAACAAAATAAGAAAATGACTACGATGAATGAGTGGATAATAATTTAGCCGCAGTACTGCACCATATCCAGGCACGTACATAGGGAATCAATAATTCAAGAAATGTATGCACATCAAAATGTATAGAGAGAGAGAGAGTTATTATTTGAACTTAGGTTATACAAGAAAGGTGTAAACTTGTTAGGACTTAGGAGTATGGAGAAAAAGGTTTGGCAAAAAGTTACATTCTGGAGACAAGCTGGAACGTAGAAGGACGAAGATATGGGTTTGAAAAATTTGCGAGTAAAAGATAAGGTTTTGTGGAAAGTTATAAAAATTTCTCTGTATCTCTTTCTACTTATGGCCCATTGTTGTTAGAAAGGTAGATTGACAAGACAGTTGATAAATAGCAATAACTTAAAAGCATTACACGTACAGTACCGCTACAAAGGAGGGAATTGAAGTTTGGTAGAATGCAAAGATCTGAATTATCACTTCTATGTTCTATCATTGCTTCCGAATCGCCATGCAAGTTCAAGTGCTGCTGCTGCTATGAACACGGGCAGATAATCAATGTTGTAAATTGTAGTTTTTTTTCTTTCTTTACTTTTCATGTGGAAGAAAAATATATATATAAATTTTAATTTTTGAACAATTTAACAAAAATCTTCCATATAACTTATCAATTCTGATTCTGAATAACAAATTTTATCCTAACTTAACCAATATTTGATAGATTGGACTTAGTTAATATTGGATAAGATTTATTATAAAGTGTATGAAATGACTACAACTGCAAACCAAAAAATAAGGAATTATAGTTAAGTGGTTGGAATAAATTTTTATCTATAAAAAATACCTAACAAGAGATTTTAGGGGGAAAAAAAGGAAAAGAATTGGAGTTGAGTGAAAAAGAAAGGGTTCAAGAAGATGAAAGAAAAACTTTCAATTAAAGATACTAAAGTAGGAGTTACATCTATATTTTCACCCTTCATAACATTCCATTAGGCATGTAAGGTTAAAATACTCATGAAAATGGTGTTGATCTCATGATCTTTCATTAAAACTAATTATTGTGTGCTTTTACATTATTTTATTTTAAGTTATGTTTGCTTTTTTATTTATTTGGTTTCTATATATTTTTCTAAATATTTTTCTAAATATTTTTATTTTTTTCTCTTTTTCTTGGCGTGAATATCTAAAGATTCGCATTGATGGGCTTTTTT